GCCCCTCAATTTCACTTTCACCCATTTGTCCAGAGCACTGAGATACTGCCAGTCCAACAGGTACACTGCCAAGTGAGATATTCTCAAGTTTGCACCAGGACATTTGTAAAATGTCATTTTTCTAAAGTGTTCAATTTTTAGTTTTTTGACTATGACTGGGCAAGCCACTGGTTATCCTCGGACATGGCTACTTAACCAAGTTTGAATATACTTTCACTCAATTCTGACAATATTTTACATAATTTACAGAGCTGGTTTTATATTATAATATCTTTCTAATGGTCCTTAAAGTGTCTCTTCATACTTCTGATGAAGACAATTATATTAAATGGTTTGTTATTTGAATGTACAAAAAATGTTCTATATGTCACAGAAATCTCGAAGAGAACTGCCTCGAAAGGAACAGCACTATTGCCAGATTAATTTATACACAAACCCCTCCTTTTCACATTAGCTCATAAAATTTCACATTATTCTTAATACTTATTTCCTTGCCTCTAAAAAGACAAATACTTGTAGGATGTGCTCATTCCTGCACCATTTTGAGCTGATACCACATTTTGACCCTACATGGTTTTTTTCTCAATTAGTTAGAACTCCAAAGAAGAAAATAGGTGGACAGTAAAGAAAGCCTCTCCACCCAACTTCCAATGTAGATTAGGGCATACTGTCAGCTATTATGTCTAATATTCATTACTAATGCAAGTTTTTACTTTTTATGTTCTTACTGCCATTTGGGAAGTCATATTAGGTACCATGAGCTGGAAAGCATCTTTATCCCCAAATCAAGCCCATCTATGACCTTTATGATAAATAATGCTATTTGTGGGATGGGGAAGATACTGGCATGACTTGGGCAAAGGAGGGCATGCTGGGGAGGATGGAGAAGCAGGGTTGAGGAGTGAGGGGGGTCTTGTTTGGTCTTGGCAGCAGGGCAGAGAAGTTTCAGTTCATGTAGTCAGAAAGCAGAGCCATGAGGCTTTTGGGCAGATGGTATCAGAGTTGAGTTCAAGGCATTTTGTCTGGTATCAAGGATTAGGAGGAGAAAAGCTAGAGTCAGGGAGATAAATATTAAGGAAAAGGAAATCTCTTGTTGGGAACTTCATTGTGACTAAACCAAAGCCAAGGGCCCAACCACATCTCATAAAATCATGTCCCCTCTACATCTGATAGTATCAAATCTCCTGACTGTCTACACACTCTACATGTGGCTAATTAATGCAAAAGAAAGGGGCACTTGTGTCATTTCTAGGAGAGATACCATAAGCTTCTAATGGGCAGACATTAGACCTTTCACTTTCAAATCTCTGATCCTTGAAATATAGTAGGTCTTATAAAATGCTTACTGAGTGGATGAATAGAAATGAGAGTGAAGAAAAATGGGAGCAAAACATGAGCATATAGAGAGCATATAGTTTTTCTTGAATGAGTCAAATGATAATAGACAACTTTAGGTTCCTGGCCACATATGCTTTTCTCTGAGAACTGGATGGTTGGAACAAGGGAGTATTTCATCATTGCCTTTCAGAAGTGCTACACTGAATCCCTGCTCTGAACAAGAAGGTGCAGAAAGGGATTTGTGCATTTAGCACTCTCCAGTACCCAAGTGGGAAGGGAAGGACTTGTAGATAAGGGTAAATTCTGCATTCCTTCAGCTGGTAAACACGAGGCCCACATGGCTATTTCTTTGTGCAATGGGAAATGTACCAGTATGGGGACCTATGAAAAGAATCCTTCTTTAACTGTAAAAATGATTTTTTTTTAAAGACAGATAAAAATTTTAGAAAATAGCTCAGTAAAATACACGATGACAAGTTTATACACCCAGAAATATCAGTAGATCAGGCATCAAAGAAATAGGTTGGTGGTAGTAATGTATTATCTGCATCCTGGGGAACTGTGGCCAGAGTCAAAGATCAGGGAAAAGCATGGAATATCCCCAACATGATGGGGCCATGAGCAGGGAGCCTTGAAGAACCGGCTCAAGCAAAGCCAAAACTGGATGATTGGATACAGCAGGGGCAACTATTGCAAAGTTAGAGAGCACCTGGAGGAGCCACAGAGTTAGAAAGTTAAGGGATCTAAGTCAAAAGGTCCTGAATCCAGAGGCCTATGAATGACCATGAGCCAAACTTCTCTTTGAAACGAAAAGAAATGGCCCCCTGGGCCAGTTTGGATGGCTGTTGCCCAACTGCTCTAGAGCTCACCTCTTACTGTTTTTAAGCATTTCATAAATCTATGGCTTTCTAACATGGCACATTTCTAAGGGAATGCAATGCAACAGAACAAAGAACAAAGCAGTTGAACTCTGTTTTATCCCGAGCAACAAGAATGGGAAAAGTACTCACGTTCCACAAAGTAAGAGCTAGCATCAATCTTCCAGATGATCTGGCCCCGATGAGAACCATTGACTCCACGGTTCTTATAGTCCAAAAAGTTCTCTGACAAGACCTCATCTATATTCCCGGGAAAGAAAGAAAGCAGAATAGAAAAATATATCAGCTAACAGCATATTTAGAAAAAAAAAAAAGGATATTAATGCTACCTCCAACTCAACAGAAGAAAAAGCACCTGGAATCAGAATCAGAGAGCTAGAAGTATCCTCAGGTACCCCCTGAACCAACCCCTTCGTAATGCAAGAATCTCCTCCCCACTCTGCAATACTCCCAAGATCATCTAGCTAGTTCATGAACACTTCCAAGGACAGAAAATAATTGCTCCTGTGGCTGTCCATTTCACTTTTGAATAGCCCTTACATGTGTGAAATCTGAGTGTGAAAATCTTCTTCCTAAAACTTTCAGTAGCTGGTCTCTATTGGGGTCTGTGAATGAGCCATAAAGAAAACATCCAATCACATTTTCTATTTGGGTCCCAGTCATCATAGGCCCCAACCTATAGCATCTCTTCTCCAGCCTGAATACCTATCATCCTGTAATACCCGGGACTCATTCATGAATATATCCATCCATCCTTCATGCACTCATACATTCATTTGTTCATTCAACAGATATTTGTTGAGATTGAACCATCTGTTATGCTGAGGAAAATGCAAGAGCCATGGATGGGCAAAACCAAGATGGTCCTTTTTGAACGAAAGCTTACAAACAATTGAGGATACAGACTTTAAACACCAAGTAAAGAAATAAAGGTATTATTACAAGTTGTGATGGCGGATAGGAAGGAAAAGAACAGGGTGCTCTGACAGGGAGTTTCAAGGAGGGAGGCCAACAGGGGTTCAGGGAAGCATTGAGGGATAAAGAAGCCACAAGGGTAGAGATGAGGGTGGGTGTGTGGAGGGCAGAAAGAGAGGCCCTGACGTGGTGTCCAGGGCCCAAGTTGAGGGACAGCATGGTGGCACTGAGAGGAGCTTGTGGGGGACTATGTACTTTTCCTTTCCTACTCTTTCTCTGCTCATCACATTGCAACTGTCAATATCCTTCCTACAGCTGGTGTCCAGAGAGGAACACAGCATTCCTGGATAGGACATATCTCTGAAGACCCAGCTGACTTCCTCCTCTCTGGGTCTAGACCTCATGTTTTCAGTGCAGACTAAGACAGGGATATGAATTTTACTTTGATCATCTCTGGGGCCCTGGCAGTTTCCACTTCACCAGAAAGTAACCACTTGAGCTAGATGGATCTGAGGCTGTGGGAAAACCATGTTTAAGAATCCAAATCCACCACAGTGATGGGAGGAATTAAGAGAACTCAGGGGCTCCTGAAGGCAGGCCCCAAGCCCCAGCTCTGCAGAGAGGAGCTCGGTCATGGTTATCCTTTTTGCAACTAAGATACCCTGAGGTTCACGTCCTGCATCTGACAGGACTGGGAGAACAGGCTAGAATGAGATGCAAAGAGGGCAGGTCTTATAGCTAAAGGACCCAGCTCTCAAGGCCCTTTGTGCCATGCACCAATGGTATCACCTGCAAAGTAGGGGACGGAGTCCTAATAACTAGGGCCTCCTAGTGGAGGATTAAATAAGATAACTGGTCAACGTGCTTGTGACCTGCCGTGTTGATTGCACATTTTTGGCTGTCTCTTCTTTGGCAAAGATGACTGGGCAAAGCACAACAGTCTGCTTCATTAATGGCAAGAACTCTTTGCATCCCTTGGAAAATCACTTGGTTGCAAAATTTGCCAGTCTTAATATTCACAGTGTGTGCTCACAGCCTTGGTTGGGTTACTAAGATGATTACATAATATGTCTTTTACAGTAATTGCCTCATTTCTGCAAAAAGGACATAATATTTTCCTAGCTCCCTAGGTCTTCAGTACAGATACAACGAGTCTCACATCCAGATAGAGATTCGCTTTGTTATGGCAATTCTCTAAGGAGAGGTATTTACTTGAATCTATCCACTCTGATCACCAGAATATTCATTTTAACAGTTACAATCAGGTATCCATGTAAATAATACCTAGAAAGGGGATGTTCATTCATGCATTAGGCAATTGTGTAGTATTTCCTCCACTTTATGCATTGTGTTAAACCATGGGGACACACTGGTAAACATGGTCTATGTTCTCAGAAAGTTTCTAATAAATTTGGGGATTTATTCAAGAAAATAGACAATTTCATTAGATTACAGTAAGTATATAAGAATGGGTTAGATATCAAGGAAGCTCAGGGGCACAGATGAGAAAAGGATGGGGTGAATAGGTGGGAAGAATCTGAAAAGACTAAATGAGGATGGCAAAATAACACACATTTTAAAGAGAACAAGATACATGCTGCTGTACACGTTTAAATGCAACACATTTTAAGAAACCGTCAGTTGGTCCTAATAAATAGCCCATTCTCTTACACTAATAATACTTCGTAACAAATACCACACAAGAAAATAGAATAGTCTATATTCTTGCCTGGACCATCTGTGCTGAGAGGTCAGCTCCTTCCCCAAAGGCATTTATTGCCAATTGTTAGAAAAGTTACTGGTCTTTGCTTGGCAATCCAAGTGTATTGTGGGGGTCAGATGCAGAAAAACAGAATCGGTCCAGATAGTTCATGCAAAAGGGGATTTAATGCAGGGAATTAGGTTTTGGAGAAATGGACTCTAGGCTGGGCCTCTGGGAACAGCCCCAGAATAAGAGAGTAACTCCAAGGCCCTGCTTCTGCCTCACTCAGAGAGGACTCGTGGGAACTGCTGTGTTCAAGAACCTCATAGAGCAGCTGTAGCCAGTGAGCAGAGAGTGCCCAGCCCGTGGCAGAATGAGTACCTGCCACCACCACATTGCTCATGAAGCGAGTGAGTGGACAGCAGGGCATCACGGTAGAAAGCTGAATTTCTCGAAGCCATGCTTGAGGCAGCCGCAGGCTAACCAGTAGGAGGAACCCCAGGGTTCACTTCCTCCTTCCTCATCTTGCACAACTGCATCTGACGAAGGGACCAGTGTGCATCTGGAAGATGGTTGCACAGGAGTCTGAAACATGTAAGTTTTGGGGACCAGATTCTGCACTAGAAGAAGGCACTGGAGAAGAGAAGAGGTCTGAAATGGACGGTGGGGGCCCAGCCAGACCCTTTGCCACCCTGAGGATTGGCAGTCCCTGGGTCCTATGTCCCAAAGTTCTTTTTTTCATATTCTTTGTCATGGTGGAAGTCCTTTTATGGGAGCAATGTTTGTGTAATTACAGGGATATTTACAGCCCCTTGAGGCAGGAAGGCTAGGCTACCTTAGCAGGTATGCGGTCTTGGGCATCTTATTCAATCCCTCTGTGTCTTTACCTCCTCACTACAACATGGGTACACTATTAATACCAACCTCAAAAGTCTGTTGTGAAGACTGAGTGAATGAAGATACGTAGTGGTCTTAGAACAGACATCACTAGTAAGTAGATATTTCTGTTTACAGTCTGGGCTAACAACAGGGCCCTCTATGGCAAAGCTCTATGATTAACATGCAAAACCATTAATAATAACCTGGAACATTAGCTTAGGCCAGTACCATTTAAAGTTTTGTCATTACTCATTTTGTACAGAACACATAGAGATGTATTAAGTTCCTCAAAAAAAACATTATATTTGCTGAATGATATTTCTTCTAGCGTGTAAAATCCCACTCCCTGTTCCACAGTCTACAATAGAGAAAAGATCTTTACAGGTTGTTAAAAATTTGTTTCAGAAAGTTCTAGTGAAGTTTACAGAAACAGCACACCTGAGAAACATGAAATGTACTTCTCTTGTCTTCAAAATGAAAACTGAAGCTATGCTTTCTATACCCTAATCTGTAATAGAAAAGTGTACAACAAAAAGACCATTGCTGTTGAGAACAGCATGGACCACTGAGCACAGAATCAGTTAAAAAGGAGAATTGATCCACTACGTACATCTCCTAAGCCCAACAAAGAAAATGCAACCTGGCTTCCACTTCTCAGAGGAACTCACGTCTTCTGATAATCAAATGGGGGCAAAAACACCCTTGACTGAGAACATCTGGTCTATGATTAAAAGCACTCATCAGGCGCCTGGGTGGCTCAGTCGTTAAGCATCTGCCTTCGGCACAGATCATGGTCCCAGGGTCCTGGGATCGAGTCCCACATCGGGACTTCCCCGCTTGACGGGAAGCCTGCTTCTCTCTCTCCCGCTCCCCCTGCTTGTGTTCCTGTTCTTGCTATCTCTGTCTCTGTCAAATAAACAAATAAAATCTTAAAAAAAAAAAAGCACTCATCATAAGAACAATATAATTTTTAAATTGATAGATCTATCTAATGGAAAGAAGAAAAAACAAAAGAAACAAAAAGAAAATGCAGTAAAGAATATGAAGAAATGGTAAAAATAAATCTTAATGTAACAGTAAATACAATAATAGAAATGTGCTCTTCTGGCCAATTAGAAGCCAGAGACTCCTAGATCAGAATATAAAAGCACACACAAATGGCTACATTTAAAAAAAGAGTTTGAAAATAAAGAAAAGTAAAAGATTAAGCAAATGTGAAGCAGAAGGAAACTGAGAGACTAATCTTAAATAGTTAAAAAAAAAAGAACAGAATTCAAGGCAAAGAGTAGCACAAGGAACACAGATCTGTAATAATAAACTAAGAAATTGTAGAAGTAAAAGATCATGAACATTTATGTACTTGGTAATTCACATCAACATATACAAAGCATAAAATCTAGAGAAGTGAAGGTAGAGATAGATAAATTAAGATGAAAATTTAAAGAATTTTACTAGCAATTTTTGACACACTCCATTCAAAAATCAGAAGGAACAAAAAAATCAGAATATACCTGATTAAACTTTCTACATATTAAATACACAGGAGAGACAGAAAATCCTTGGTTTGCAAGGTGCCCTATGAACTGAAACTTATATCAGAATTGTGTCCTTGCTCTGCAAGGTTCTTGGAAACTGTTACCATTGTTATCTCAGCTGCTATGGAACTGGGCAGAGTGAGGACACAGCCTTAAGACGCAGTTTGGGAATTAAGGTAATTTGCTATCACACACCCAGAGAAGAGAGCTCCCTGACAAGGTAGATCAAGACATGAATTATCGATCAACAGGCAGTAAATGTGCAGTGTCTCATCAATTCTACTCAATGATTCTAGAAGAAAGTTCTGTTTTCCCCTCTATTTTGGAGATCAGGAACCTGGAGCTCTTTCGATGGTACCTGGCTGGGGTCCTACACCTGGCCAGTGGTAGGGCATGATTCTAAACAAGGTCACGCTGTCACTGAAACCACATGATCTTTCCCCATTCTGTGTCACTAGGAGAGAGAATCCTTCATTACACGGTATCGAGCTCATGAACCACTCCATAAAGGAGGGCAGCCAAATGGGATTTCCCCGATAATAGTAACAATGGTGAAGCTACTGTCCCTGCCCCCTCACTGGGTTCCTAAGTGGGGTCGGTGAACAGGCTACACATCCCCCTCCACATGCAGGTGTCTCACTCTCTCCCCAGTCGTGTTTGCCTGGGAAGCTCGAAGGTCGGAGCTGACAGCATCACAAACCTGGCCTCACGTGGGCATTTCGTTTGTCCGTGGATGCAGAGTGGTCCCTACCTGACGCTGCACCAGGATGTGCTGAGCTGACCCTATGGACAGCACAGGGTCTGCCACCAGACCAGGCAGCTCTGTGGCCGTGGGAGCCACGCACTGGCATTACTTCTGCGGCGAAATGACAGATTAAATTAAACCGTCACCTCTAAAATTTTAGGCCTACATCAGTGATTTGATCTTTGGCAAGGCACTGCAAATCTGACAGATACTTTACTAAGGACCTACAAATTATGAGCTCTTAAAGACTCACAGATAATTTTGGATTTGGAAATTATTTCTGAAATGCTATGTTGCCGAAAGTGTTGGCGTTTTGAATTAAATAACTTCACAGTTATATATATGCAGCTACTATGAGAACAAACTGTCAAGTTAGGATTCTAAGATGATGAGCTGTTTACTTTTGTCTTAGTCAAAATGTCATGTTAACACCAGATCTGATTCATTTCCAGAGTTTCACGACATTCGATGCTGCTGACCACTCCTTCCTTCCTCCACCGCCTTCTCTTGACTTCTGTGACGTGGTCTCCTAGTTTGGTCCTAAGTCTCCATCCCTCCTCCACCTCCTTTTTGAGTGCATCCTCTGCCCGTCTCTCCGACAGAGGCCTTCTGGTGCTACACAACCCACAGTGACCTCATCAACCCTCGGGGTGCCAATTACCCCAAACCTCCACCGCCAGCCCGGACCTAGGGCTGAGCTCCAGATCCACCCATTTTTTGCCTTCACTTTGGATGAATGTCCTTGGGTGTCACACCTTCCCCCCAACACGTGCTCCTCCTCCAAATGTTCCCTGACCTGGGAATGAATGGCATTAGTACTCCCCACTGCAGGAACATACAGCTTTAAAGGGTTGGTTCAAAACCAGATCTGTGGCCAAAAATCTAATTGCCCAAGGTGCTTAACAAGTAACATTCATCATGAAAGTAGGGATGGGTGGGAGGGAGACTGTGGCAAAACTGAAGGGTACAGACAGGCTACCCGAAGCAGCCAATGCTTAACTTTAGTGAACTAAAGCCAAGCAGAATTATAGGCTCAGTCTGCCAAATTGAGGGCTTTTGTGAAAGAAGCTAGAAATTTCGATTTCAATGTGAAATCTCTACATTTTTCAATGTTGATAACTAATCAAATTTAAAATAATATAGACTAAAAATATGCTTAGGGGGGCTGTTATTTTACAAGCTCTGTTTTAGATTGATGGTATCCGAACAATTTTATTCAAGAACTATTTTTTAAGCAAATGAAATTTTACCTAAGTCCAATTTAGCTAGTAACCACTATTTGTGTACAAATTTAAAAAATTACATTTCTCCATCTTTATAATAAAGTGTGTATTGTAAATACACCAGCCAAGCTGATTTCAAAACCTTTATGAGAGCTAAAAATGCTTCCCTGATAGTCAGATAAGATCCCCTTTATTTTGTCAGAAAAACAGTCCACGGTTATAAAATACTCGTAACGATCCATTGGTTCCTGTGATAGTCCATGATATTAAATCAGGCATTGTGTGTCTGAATGTGTAGACTGCTCCATGCACAGACTGACAGCAGAAGGCCTGGCCTCCTCTGAATTGGATGCCCGACTCTACAGACTCCCCAGCAACCATACCCTCATTTCTGATTAACCAGTATAAATGCACCAATTTCCACCACACCCGATTCTATCATGAACAATAGATCAAATCTGTTTTTCAGGTGATTTCAAATCTGTGAGATCTGTTTTCTGCAGCACACAGACTTGTGTATTTCCCTCTCAGCTATCACTCTCTTCCTCAGCCTGCGGTGTGCTTGCGTTCACTGTACGTTGAATCGAGTTACATCTTTCGAATACAAAGCAGTGAGAATGTTGAAAGAGCAGGTGAGAAGAGGTGCATGATTATGTTGGCAACAAAGTGAAACTCCCTGCACAGAGATGGGTGCACACCAGCTGTGTATGTGGTGTTGCTTTGGTCTTACGAACATACGGACTTGAAAACAGGCTTTTGATATTAACTTATTTGTAAGTAAAAGAGCTTCTATACTTGCAAATGGTAACGACATTTGTGTTCAACCACACCTGGCCCTTCTATCTTACGATTTTCTTCCACTGAATGGAGATAGCAAGAGAGGCCTCCGTACATGATCTGCAGTGTGTTGGAATTCGGGGGGTAACACATTTGACTGCAAATTGTGTGAGTTTGTTGAAATATTAAAGCATATGTAAAAGTGAACTGCGGATGATATACTTGTCGAACACCCAAACCACAGTGCGGAGACCGTTTTGTCCGCAGCACACCGTTAGCCGGTCTGGCTAAGGGCTGCCCTACTCACCGATGAGATACATGCCAATCCAGTCTCCAGCATCCACTTCCTCCTTGATGTCCCAGTGGATCACCAGGTCCTGTGAGTGCCCTATGGAGTAGTAGGAGCTGCTGACCATGAGTGTGGAGCGGCTGTCTGAGGTGACCAGGTCGGTGTCACTGGTGGAGCGTGGGATGGTGACGGCGCCATGGGGGCCATTCCGAATGGCCATGCTGTGGAACTGGCCAGGGTTGTAGCTGTGACGGAGAGGCTCCTTACACCGGCGGCGATTCTGGGAGTTTCTAGATGGAGATGCCATGGCGGCCAGGCCTAAAAACCTGTTCTGGTACAGATTCTGTGGGGGCAAACAGACAATTAGCAGGGGTGTAAGACACCAGCTGCTCAATGACGGTCTTCACAGGTTTAGAAGGGTGTGCTGGGAGAAGGAGCTGTGAGGGAGCAGCCGTCCAAGGAAGATCTGAAATACAGCACAGAGCATCCTCCACGGGCTTCACACAGGGAAGGCTAGAACAAAAAACAAAAAACGAAAAACAAAAACAAAACCCCCAAAAAGACAACAGAAATGGAGATTAAGCCCTGAAAACGTGTTGAGTCATGCAGTTTGGATCCCAGGGACAGTTACTTACTGCACACATCAATCAGATGCAAGTTTCTGTTTACTGGTCATGAGGCCCAGGCCTCAGCAGCGGTCTGCTCTGCTCTTCAGATTACATAAGTCTGTTTAGCAGTCACTTAGGTCTGCACTTTTTCCACCCTCTAAGACCAGGGCACTTGTAAAAAGTCAATTAACCTGATGAAGCACAGTGTTGGCATTCTCCATCTCAGTCCTTAATGGCCATGTGGCAGGCCTATTCGTTCGTTATTTGAGTCTCTTATTAGGAATTCCTCAGGCCCCACTGGTGGTAACCATGCATTACTATAGGCAGAAAAGCCAGACTTCAGAAAGCATCTCATCATATTGGTACCATATGGTCTTATTTTTTTTTAAATGCTTGTCATTGCGACAGTATGAAAATGGACAGACCCTGGTGTTGCCTGGAAACCAGTCCTTTTCTCAGGAAGCCAGGCAAAGCCCAAGAAGCATGAGCCGTCCATGCACTCAGCAGGCCGCCTGGCTCTGGGCAGTTCAGAGAGGACATCGCTAACCTGACCATCCTCTGGGGGGCTTTGTCCAGAGACCTTCATGACATCTCCAAAAAAGAAAGGCTGTTGCTAGAGCATAACATTTCTGTAGTTTACATATACTTTGTGTGGGCAAATGACCTCTTATAGTATTATTATGGAGATTCAAAACAACTTGGAATTAAAGAGTCAAATTTATGATTACAGGTTAAAACAAAGTGGGTGCATCCCTAGACATTTTACTTAATCTTCCTGGTCCTCACTTTCCTCATTTTAAATGGGTTGTTGTCAGAACTTAATGAGGTAATGCAAATCAAGCTCTTACCATAGTAGGCACTCAATAAATAAAAATCTACTGAAATACTACTGGTATTGCTTTACTAAGAAAGCCTCACTGAAACATAGGTCCCGGGCAGTTGGCCGGGCTCACTCACTGGCCAAGGGTGCCCTCACATCATCCCCAGAGCCCTCACATTTAATTCCTTCTGCAACAAATCCACAGATTGTTTCTAGTCACGGCCCCGCAAGTTTTCTTACAAAACTGAAATTCCAAGCTTAAACAGTCTAGTGTATTTATAAAGGTACCCTATATACCAATTTTTTGGAGGGGAAGGCTCCCTTTATCTGTAAGGTTTATGCTTGAATAGGATGTTTTTGCATTAATGTTGAGGCTGAGGGAATTTTACCGACGTAGTATCAGCCGGGGCCGCAAAAAAAGATTATAGATTGCTTTTCTTTTGTTGAAGACACTTCTGCTGTGGTATTTTTATTAGAATTCCCTGGAAATCAGGCAACTCTCCTGAAACTGTCAAATTACACCAGTGCTCACTGTCCACGTGGTGGGAACAAAGGCATAGAAGGAAACATCAGTCAAGGAAGACATTTGTCAGTAATTTCCTGGATTGGAATAATGGTATTTGCCTGGAATAAGAAGGGCAGTTTCAAAGCTGCTCCTTTTAGACTGCACTCCCCCACCCTGCCCACCCCCATCTTTGTCCACACCCTCTCCATTTGTACTCGCAGGAATTGTATTTCTGATTCAAGATTATGCCCCAGCACCAACTCTGCTATAACCGCCCCCTGCATCCTTTTCCGATTCCCCAAAATGTGGGCCTCAGCTCTCTGATCCCACAGGAATCCCCTTCCCCTGCAGAGAGTCTTACTATATTATTGTTAGTTGACCAATTCACGCACATCCCTAAGCAGTGAAGACTTCAAGCCAGTGTTCCCTGCTCTTTATATCCCCTGGAACTGGCCTGACTCCTGGCACAAAAAAAGGCCCTCGAAACTTTAATTAATATGATTTTATTCAATGATGCCCCTTCTTTTTGCAGAAAGCGTTTAAGTTTGCTATTAAAAAAATAGATAAAATATAGTAAGACATAAGTTAGTAGATAGTGCAGAGAGAGAAGAAAATAAAGAGACAAAAAGTTATGTACAAACTATATGCCATCATGTCCCTAAACAGGTGTTATTGTTAAAGACTCACAACAGCTGCTTCTTGAATGCAGCATGTGGATAGTTGATTCCCAACGTGCGATTCCTTTGTGGCTACGTTTGCCCCTGGGCATTCACAAGGGTTCCAAGCTCACACTATAGACTCATCCAGCTGGAAGAAACAATTTAATCATTCTCTGTTCACATCTGAACTGTGGGAGATCGAGGAGGATCTGTCCTGTTTTTAAATAGCCCTGGATAAAAGACCACTCTCTTCCCAGACAGTGATTTCACTGTCCTGCAACCTTGCAATTCTTCCTAATCGCTAAGGCAAATCTCGCAGGACAGAGACCTGCCTTCTTCTTCCTCCCTGTGAAGAGTAGGAGTGGCTTTCCCATTATCTCTGAGGAGGATGTCAACAGTATCACTAAATTGCTTCCAGCTTTTTCTCCATTCCACTAAGTAATTTGAGTGTCTTTTATTTCCCCTTACCTTGGTGATGGGTAAAAGACATGGAAAAGAAACCAAAAGAATATTAGTAACAGTTTCAGTGCCACTGTAATTTTCCAATTATTGGTTGTAAGCAAGGGTCTCTAGTTATGGGCTATGTTACGCACAGATTTTAACTGACCCCTGAAAAAGTGAATCCGATGAGTGAGCCACTGAAGACAATCTGATCACATTGTGACCTACTTCATAGGGAGTAAGATTCCATTTGCTGGCTTGTTTCCTATTTGTAGCCGAGGATCCAACAATGATGTTTTGTTTACTTATTTTGCTTTCCAACTTAAATAACTCAAATTGTTAAAATGTTTTTAATTAAGTGATATGTTCTTGGATTTTTAAAAAATCTTGGAACAGGTCTGACATGTTTAATGTTTTAAGTTATTCTTATGCATTATAGTACATAGCAAAACCAAAACATGTAAGGAGATGGAATCTTAAAAAATTGTCACTTCTAGGAAAGGGACATGTTATTATGGATTTTTTTTTTTCAGAACACAGGAAAACAAAAGATTCTGCTGTGTCAATTTCTAACTGACTAAGTCATTAATAGCTTTTCTGTTTTGAAACATATAAAGCTGTGAGTGAGTACCATCTCAGAAATAAAAAGAAAGTGGACAAAAGGCACATCTATAATAGAGAAAATGATTCTTAAAAATTGCTTCTACACTAAGAAATCAAAAACAGTAAGTGGAAAACAGAGGCCCTGAAGGAAACCTCATTAAAGTATATGAGATGAGGTTATAGAAACTGGTATTATTTAGCTGGAAGAAGAGCATAATAGTTTTTGAGTTCAGGAACAGATTTTATTTTGAGCAAGTAGATGCCTGAAGCTTTTTTATCCTACACTCAGCTCTGGTTATGCCATCAAGGAGGTAATGGAACTTAAAAAAAATTATATGTAACTTTTCTCTTTCTACAATGGATTTGAGAAAATTTACAACAAAAGAAATGTACACAAATAGGGAGAGACCAGACAGAAAGCAGGAATAGCAATATGAAAAAGGATAATAATTATGAACGTTCACTCTATGCAGGGAACTTGGTGCATTATCCTATTAAAAACCTGTCAGGTATCACTACTCCCTTGTTGGTGAAAACCCGGCTCAGAATGGTGGTTAATAAACATTCCCAAGGTCCTCTTACAGCAGGAAATGGGGATTTGAGCCTATTCTGTGTGATTGTAAGTAAGCACTTTTATCATTCTGAAGCACTCTCTCCAAATTATAACATGGGCAGATATACTTGCAGAAATTGATTCAGATACTCCTCTAATCTTCTTGACAGCCAAGAAGATATAAGGAAAGCATAGTTCTCGGGGAGCCTGGGTGGCTCAGTCGGTTAGATGTCTGCCTTCTCAGATCATGATCCCCGAGTCCGAGCCCGGCATCAGGCTCCCTGCTCAGCAGGAGTCTGCTTCTCCCTCTGCTCCTCACTCCACTCTCATGCTCTCTCTCACTCTCTTTCTCAGATAAATAAATAAAAAAATAAAATAAAAAAAGGAAAGCATAGTTCTCATGATCAGAATATTTGAATTTTTTCTCCCTCCAAGTTTTTTTTTTTACTTTTATTTTTTTTAATTAAAAAAACTTTTTTTTTATTAACATATAACATATTATTTGTTTCAGGGGTACAGGTCTGTGATTCATCAGTCTTACACAATTCACAGCACTCACCATTCCCTCCAACTTCTTAATAAAATGCTTCATTTTAGACTTTATACATACAGAGAGCACCACATGATGTGGTGACCATCATCTCTAAAAAACATTTTTTTAAAAACCACAAACAGTGGCAGATTCTTGCACAAGTTTTTGACAAAAGTTGGGATTATAATATAGAGAGTCTATTTGGGGCTGTGTATAGCTGTGTTTCCTTCTGACCACATTCAAACGCCCCCTTGGCTTCTTCCACTCCTTATGCCCCAAACCTCCTGCTCTCCATTGGGTGCCTGTTCTCAACCTCACATCTCTCTCTCTCTGGCCTTGACACAGATAAACAGGAGCCTGAATGACCTGTTCTATCTGCAACTGTCTTACTTATTTCTTATCAGTGCTCCTCTACTGAGAAGCAAGTGCCAAGAGAGCATGGGCCTTGCCCGGCCCCTCTGGCCTGCATTTCCACAGTCAGAATGCAGTGGGTACTCAGGAGATGTTTGGTTGGATTGGGGCGCATCTGCGTCTGCATCCCAGAGCTGTCACGATGCTCTGCTGCTTGAGTTCAGAAACCCTTCTCAGTGCCTATTTGGCCTAAAGCACAAGGCTT